CGCCGCAAGTTTCAACTTTTCTCGATCACAGTACTTACAACTGACAAAATTTTTCCTACAAGCTTTGGTGTTGGGTAAATAGTAAAATATTTTCTATTGAAATAATTTACTGATTAAAAAAGGGGATGCGAATGATTTTACTGTAGAATGTATTTTTTTTAAAGTTTAGAATTTTATAATTTATCCACAACCAAGTGTATTATTGGCATGATATTAGGCATCCAAAGTCTTGATACTTGAAATTTTCATTTCTTACATTAAGAAATAATAAACACAATTTTAAAAACAATCGAAATTCCTTATACTACTTTTTCAGCGAGGCCGGATGGCCGAGCAGTCAAGGTAGCAGTCTACCGCTCTGGGGGACCCGCGTTCGAATCCGAACAGGTCGAAAAACCCCCAGGAATTTTTCGGGCTCCGTTCCTCACCACCCGGCATCCCCATTGTGGGCCTGGCCGAACCCATAATGGGCTTGCATAGAGGCTCTCCTAGTGCCGACAGGGCGGAAAGAGTTAAAAAAAAACCACTTTTTCAGTTACGATAATTATCTTACTGTATGACCACGAGACTTGATTAAAATCATCTCTTAGTGCCCACGGCAAAAGTACACACATATAGTTTGTTCCAGCGTCATTATTCGTAATATCTGCAGAAAGGGAAGGAAAGACAAAATTTTTATTGCTAGTTTATGAAGAGCTTTATGCAGAGATAGATATAACAAGTTGATTAAGAATGTACTCGTATTCCATTTTTAAGAATTTATAATAATCTTTCAATTACTCAATTTTCTCATTGAAAATTTGGCGTATCGCAATTACCGGGAAATTTGTTACTGTGCTCAAAAACTTCGTTTTACCTTGCATTCCTTTTTTTACAAACGAAAATATTTTATAACTAGCAGATAGGCCCGGCGTTGCTCGGGCAAAAAGTAACGATAGTGAAGATTAAGATAATTACATTATAGCCAATCTTACCCGTTTTCACAGAATGCAAGAATTAGGTCCCCCGTTTTCAGACTAATTAGAGAATTTTTACGTCCAGTCAAACGAACTATTTTCAATTTGATCAATTTTCTGGAACGTTTACAATCGTTCTATTGATATAATCGAACCAATTCGAATTTAAAACGATTCGAACATTTAAAATCGAAATAGAAAATCTTCCACTTTCAACCCCCAAATCTCCCGCACCCTTATAGCTATCGAGACGCGACCACCATAGTGCACGAATGGAGACCTGGGGCTACTACTACATACAAACACCATTCATGTGCGATGTGTACATTTGGCTGAAAAGTGAAATATAGGGACACACACGATATATAGATAAAAATGGGCGTGTGTCCCTATATTTCACTTTTCAGCCAAAACTACACATCGCACATGAATGGTGTTTGTATGTGATAGTAGCCCCAAGTCTCCATTCGTGCACTATGGTGGTTGCGTCTCGATAGCTATAAAGGCGCGGGAGATATGGGGTTTAAAGTGGTTGACTTCGAAGATGTGTAACAATGGAAGTGTTGAGTAACAAAGGAAGTGTTAATATAAAGCGGCATGCAAGATTTACAAGATGCAAGATATGGGGTTTAAAGTGGTTGACTTCGAAGATGTGTAACAATGGAAGTGTTGAGTAACAAAGGAAGTGTTAATATAATGCGGCATGCACGATTTACAGGCGGTTTTTTGCGGGAAATCGAACATATTTTTAGACTCATGTAAAAATTCTCTAATTAGCCTGGAAACGGGGGACCTAATTCTTGCATTCTGTGAAAACGGGTAAGATTGGCTATAATGTAATTATCTTAATCTTCACTATCGTTACTTTTTGCCCACAAATAAAAACCCAGTGAAGCGGGTCTTTGCAGCTAGTATATATATAGATAATAAAATTTTCGGTTTCCTTTGTTGAAAGCGACACACTTGAGAAAAATGATCATTATTCGTATTCAATTTAACTTTGACAAACGTTCATCGAATTAACTTCGATGCAAGCACATTTTGTATTATTGTCTCAGCTTTAGTTCTCCCACAAACTTTATAGTATTTTGATTTTGAAAATTAATTCAAAATTGCCGAACTATTTAAATCAGTATTTAAACAACTATGCTTTAAGCAGTGATAATTTGAGACAATGCAATTATTGTTACTTTATATCATCAGGCGAATTTGATTTTGGCTCTGTGGGCACTAAGAGCATCTTTTTCCAGGTCCCCAATGCCTTCGATGAGATATCGGACAACATATCCAGGACGAGCGCCCACGAGAAATTTATGGGATTTCTAATCACATTCGATTCCGCGTTCCGCAGATGACGACTTTACCGCCTTGGCGAGCGGATGATATCAGCTGACTAAAAGTTTGAAAGCTTTTGACGTTTTCGAGACAATGTTTTCTCCCGTTGGGTTTTAAATGCGAATTTAATATTGCAAACTATAAAAAGTGGAAGGAATCACGGGAATGTGTAAAGACATCTAGGATTTATAGTAGTTTCCTTTGTAATCAATCAATCATCATTAAATGTACTCTACCTCCATAATAAATTTTGTTTCTATTAGTTTATTGCAAATCAGGAATTTATTAATCCATTTCTACAAGTTTTTGTTATTCTACATGCGTCTAATTTAACGAGAGACTAATTTTAAAACTCTCTCTGCACTTTGGACAGTTATTTTTAGCAAGCCCACTATGGATTAGGCCAGGCCAATGAGGCGGCCGGGTGGTGGGGATGGGCCCGACATATCCGGACTGACCACCCTCCGAGGTCTTATGGTTTCTCGTTCAATTCGATCCCTGGTCTTCTAGTGGTAGGCCGTCGTCTTGGCCATTCAGAAACAACATATTCTGAGACCTTTTTAAGTTAATGTTTCTAATTTAAGTTTCAAAATTAAGTATTATAAGTTTTTTAGTATAATATAGGTTTATAAGTTTTTTAGTATAATATAGGTTTATAAGTTGTTTAATATATTTTTAATTGGCATGTATAATAATAATTACACACAGTGGAACCTCGCTTAACGAGCATAATTCGTTCCAGAATCTTACTCGTAATACTAAACACTCGTTAAACAAAACAATTTTTCTCATATAAATTAATGTAAAATATGATAATGCATTCCGCGCCAAAAAAAAAATACTCAAATATTTTATGTATAACGTTTATTCAAAGAAAATTATACAATATACATTGTTAAAGAGCGTCAATCATCATCTTTTCTTCTAGCATGGAATGAACCATCTTGAAAATGCAAATTCGATTTGCAGGGGAAAAAAACACAGATAAAATCTGATAAACATGCTAAACGTTATGCCAAATTCTTGGGCTATGTAAAGTCTATAATTAAATATTAGAAATTAAGTTGACTAGAGTTAGGCAGTTATGCTGCCATCCCGTATTAAATTTTATATTTATTTATAATTAATTTTTAATTTATACATTTATAAAAAATTTAATTTGGAACTGGTCATTAAATTTAATACAAGATGCAGCAAAACTGCCTACCTCAAATTAATCAATTTATAATATTTAATTATAGCCTTTACATTACCCAAGAATTTGGCATATCGTTTGGTGTGTTTATTATATAACGGGCGATGGTTGTTGTTGTTTATATGTTGTTTTATGTCTGAACACAAGTTTGGAAAAATGTGTGATCACGAGCGACACTAATATGCTAGCGGAACGAGTACTAAACAGACTGATGTAGCATGAACACAATCCGGGACTTCCTCTCCTGGTCACTCGTTAAGCGAATCATTTTTGCAATTTATTTTGCTGTTAAGCGAGATTCCACTGTACTATACATCCAATATGCAACACAAGATTTTAACAGGAGGGAATTTTTTTGATGTATTTGATATTTTGAATTAGTAATTGGAGCCAATTACGAAAAAACGTCCTCCTCAATGAATTTAATGAGTAAATCGAAGTTAGGCTTTCAAACAAACTGATTGATCGCCGAGGTTTTTACATACATTAATAGTAGATGTGAGATTTGAGTGTTTCGGTAAAATGAATATTGAACAACATCGACTTCGTACACCACTTCAACCCATTTTCGTACATTTCAGGGTTGGTAACTTTTTGCATAACTGGCCTAATTAATTTTGTGATTTCAGATAATTTCAGCTTAGTTTTTAACAATGTTAAAAGAAATTTTTCTTTACTAATTTACAAAATATTTGGCATAGTAAGAGATGCACAAAAAGAATCACCATATCTAGTAATTCTAAAAGAAAACAAAACATTTTTAGTGAACTTTGTATCAATCTTTTATTTCATTGCTATATTCTAATTACATAGATTAAAACTTAAGTGCTTCAAGGTTTAAACATTTAAAAATAATATTCACAAAAAGTATAATTATCGAAAAATATAATCCTTATAAAAAATCTCTTAAATTTTAACAGTTTTACGTATTTTATTTGAAAAACATGCATGCAATCTTTGCAAATATAACAAAAATTGCATACACGTTTTTCAAAAAAATACATTAATGATGATGCTTTTAAAAATCCGCACATTAAAAACAATTTAAATTGCATTATAATCAGAAATAATGATTTGTTTTTACAAAAATATAATTTTCGACACTTGCACGTACTGTAGTCTGTTCAGAATTTCCTGCCAACTGTTTTGCTTGTTAGTGAATGAGGCTGGGTTCACATCGCCAACAGCAGCAAAAACCGATATTTTTATCGTTGGTCGTTAGAAAGTTAACAAAGATTGGACATTTGCCATTATAACGTTATTGGCCAATCGAGGTGAACTTCCCACAATTCTCTTTGAAGAGGAAGGAGTGGCTAATCTCGTGTATTAAAGAAAGACCATGACTTATGTCCAGAAACCTCGGAGTATATTTGACTCTGCTTATTCACGTATTGAGAGACGAGTCTGGTCTAATCATACTGTAAATTGTGCATACTGTAACACGAAAACTAATGAATAATGTATTCATTCATCGCCAAAACGTTCGCAATTAAATACGCTGTAGTTTTCATTTAAGATCTATGGCAATGTGAATACAGCCTGACGTCATGGGTAATTGGATTGTTATTCTCTAATCCACCCTTGACTGTGGTGAGCCTGTAGTAATCGTATCACCGGAAATTTTATAAGTAATGTTTTTAAATGACGCCGGTCTCGTAGGTTGAATCGGTAAGCATTTCCAAACAGACCCTTCATGCAACTGAATCAATGAAATATTTACAATAAAATAGAGTGGACAATGGATTTTTTAATTAATTATAACAGTGTGCCTTTAACTACAATTAAGCAACTATTATAATTTAATTATAAAATCACTTCTATTTAGATTAGAAATCTTACACTATGTTACAATATAAATTTAATTGATCATATAATTAAAAAAATTATTTTCTGCAACAAATCTAGTTACAAAGACATTTTGACAATGGCGTTTGATCACGTTTTATTGATGAGAACTTTGGCCACAACTTCTCTATTAAAACTGATTATTCTAAATGCTAACTTAAGAATTTGTGGTTCATGAAGCAATTGTAATTTGTGAAGCAACTATACATTATTGCTTCATAAATTATAATGCAATTGTTGTCGCTCTTTTTAGCAAAAACTGAAAACCACTTTATTCTTCACACCTAATTTCAATTGATCATTTTTTATTCCATAACTTAAATATGCAGTTAAGGGATAGGTTTTCAAAGACATTTCTAACATTCATAAAAACTCAAAAAATGAAAATTTGTATTCTCAAATTGGTTATGGACAGAAAGAAATGATCATCCCAGTTGATCAGCAATTTAATTATAAAGGTTTGTTTTTAAATGATCAATGATTAAACAGTAGCAAGGTTGCGGGCAAAGTTTTCAACATAAACGTCTGACGTAGCACCGCCATCCTGCAAGCTTAAAAGTTTGACAATGGCGTTTGGAATGTCTAGCATGATTCCAGCGATGTTCCAAATGCCATTGTCAAACTTCTTACAAGGTCTGATCAAAAAGTATCTGGTCTTGTTTTTTCCTTAAGTATTTGCAAGCTGAGGAGACACTATTCATGTGACCTTAGACCCTACTGCATGTGGGTGAATTTTGATGACCTGGTCATACTCCGCAGTCACTGTCAGACAGCCGGATAGTTCTATATATACGCTGTTAACATTGCATTAGTGATTTAGCGGAACATGATGATGGATCCTGATTTCATGAAAATTATAACAGGGTATGACCCAGAGAAAGGCACAATCATCCCAGTGGAAAATACCACAGTCTCCAGTTGACCAATTTTTTTTTACCACCAGGGTGTAGTTTCAGTACACCCTCATGGAAAAACTGATAGACTTGCAAACCTGACTGTTTTACATGACGTATGAAATGCTGTTAGATGCAAAATACCAGAGCTCACAAAACAGGCTACTGAATCCATGCAATACCATCTCTCTCTCTCTCCAAACATGGCTCCAGCTAACTTTTGGTTCTTTCCCAAACTCAAGATTCCACTCAAAGGAAAAACTTCAGAATGCAGACTCAATCAAGACTAATGCAACAAAGCACCTGATAAAGATACAGATAACTTTGAAAAAAAATGCTTCCAACAGTGGACGCATCACTGGGTGTGTGAATTCAAAAAGGCCTATTTTGAGTTATAGTAGTGTGAACAAAATAGATAGGCAAGATTTTTTCCCAGACTTCAGGTCAGATAGGTTTTGATCAGACCTTGTATGATAGTTTGTAATCATCATCATCATATAATTGTAATGTTTGTTTTTGCAATGAATTAATTGCTGCATAATATAAATTTTGATTTATTCCATAACGAGTAAATGCTAATGGTTTGAATCATATATATTGATGAAAATTAAGTTGAAAACAGATCAACTGATTACAACAAATTTTCAGTATTGTTTCTTAATATCAATAATTATTTTTTTTATTGGAACACAAAATGTCACTCACATAACATTGTAAATCTTCATTTTTTTCAATTTTCTTCCTTTGAGAATAAGTGCTGTCCAAAAGTTCTGTACTGCACCTATCAAAAAATTGCAAAGTATTTCAAGATTATATTATGATTAATTTGGAATAAGAATTCACTTTACATTATTTTTTCTATATACCAATTTAACTTCAATGTCTTATTTTTTAAGAATTATCTTGAAGGACAAAATGTCTTAAGATAAATCCAAACAAAAATAATTAATTGAAATTATAACAGTATTAAAAATTAATACAATAGTTCAGATTATATATAAACGGGAGATAATTTAGAAGAAACTTTTATATCATCATAGACTAAGTTACATTTATGAAATTTAACAAAATTCACTAAGATATAGCTGGTTATTACCTTTTTAGGCTCTAAATCAGAGGGGTCAACCTAATGCTAAATCAAATAAGTCTACGACAGTATTTCTGAATAGAGGGTCTGTATTGACCCATAAGGGGTTGCTAAACTTTGCAAATATAAAATTTAAAATTTTACAATTTTTTTTGCTAAAACATAGGAAGATATCTTTAAAATTACATATGTTAAGGCATATATACAAATATTGTATAAGATTGAAGGGAATTTACAAAAAAAAAATTGTTAAAAGGGTCCATACACAAAGGTTGGGAACCCTAGTCTAAGGTATAGATGGACCAAATTATTTTTAGCTTTCCACAATTTACAGGATCACTAAAACAGGATATAACGAAAAAGCTTGTAAAAATATACATAACTTATTGTAACAAACTTGAGTATATTATTACTGCTTATTTTTCTTTTTAGACATGAATTAACCATTTTAAAATTATCAAACCATGGCACACATTCAGCCAGATGGCTGTAAACAATGAAAAAAGTATGTGTAATTACATTATTACAGTAAATTCCTTATTGCAAATATCAATGGTTAAAATTTCATTTAATTACTAAAATAATTTTCATAAACTTAATTGAAAAAAATTAAAGTTTATTTAGTTTTTTCTACAGTAATATATAAACCAAAAGTATTCATTACATTTTTGTAAATACTATTAACACTAGTAACTATAATACATATTTCCACTAGGAAAATTTATGACGTATCCTATATAAATTATGAAAAAACTATGAAGGATATGGGTGGAAACAATTGCAAGTCAAGTGAAATACTTCACACTACAAAATTTAAAAAAGTTTGTTCAACACTAAATAAATAAAAATTACAGAACATTGAAACAAATGGCAAATCGTACTAGAGTAAAAAAGAAGTGTTTATATTATACATACACAATGCAAGCTAAAATATTCATACTTTTGATAATAAGACATTTTTAATAAATATATATAAATTTATACAGAATGCAGAATACAAAATTCTTTATAAGGATTTATTTCGATCTTGTTTGCTTGTCCCTTTAAAGAACAAAATTTCCAATTTGTATAAAATAGTCTCTCAATATTCAGTTGCACAGATATGAATCAATTATTCAAATGAAATTGGACATTAAGCCCACAACATTTAAACAATATAATTATATTTTTAATGCACAAGCCATATTTCCTGAGAAAACAAAAAAATTTTTACTTGAATAAATATGAAAGCATGAGATTAATATGTAGTTTTACATTCTCTATAGTTTCTATCACAAATGGTTAAAATGGCATTTTGCTAGTTAATAATAGTTTACTTCTATTGGTCAGAATATCTGGTTATTAATATGAAAACAATGTTAGTACATTATATGAACTTTAATGAAACCAGACAGACTTCTGACATTCAAAACTCAACATTTTGCAATTCTTTCTTCTTTAAAGAATTACAATAGCATCAACCTTGAACTACTTTGTTCATTTTACAAAAAACTTATTTACATCCAATTTCTTCAATAACAAAAAAATAAATAAATAGGTAACTTTTGAAATTTAATAAAAATTTCTTTTCATTTGACAGAGTACATTAAACAATAAATCGAGAGACCCATGACTTCTGTCCCATTGTGCCATGTTAGTTTCTCAAATATCAAACACTTAAACAAGACAAGAACAAAGCAAGGAGTTAAATACACTATGCTCAAAATTAAACTTCATTTCATGCAATAATGTAACTAAATGCCATAATGCTAATTCCCTACAAAAAGTAAACAGTTATAATTGGTAAGTTATTACATTAAAAAATATTAATGTACCATACAAATTACAACCTTTGTATCATTTATATTTAAAATAAATATATCATACAAATATTTGTAATAATTAAGATGTTTTTGATGTAGGGAAAAAACTAACTTAGTTCCAATTATGTACTTTATTTTGAAGTCAGTATTTCTTTTCATTATTGTTAGGTTGATAAAGCAGAATTTTTCCATTAAAACAAAAATGCAGAAAATTAGATATTACAAGATACATCATACAAGATTCTTTAGAAACTAAAAATCTTTTGGATAAACCACAGTATGTCAAAGAACGAGTCTTTGTTTGTCTGAAGCAAATTCAGCAATCTGCAGACTACTCACTACAAGCTGGGCAAACCTAATTGCTACTTTGTACTGTGCTTTGACAGTAACAAATGTACACAAACTATATAATAATTTACATATTCCTATATAAAATTACTGCTTTTAATAGCAATATTTTAAGCATCTTGTTTACAATTCAGTGATTTGAAAAATTAGCCTGAGCCAAATAATTCAAAGCATGAAATAGTTTAGGTTTTGCCCAGCTAGCAGTGAGCAGTCTTAGGTTTGCCTGAAGCAAACTCAGCAACGTGCAGACTCACTCTGACATACTGTTTGTCTGGAAAAGTTGTTCCCAAAAAATTGTGACATATGCGGGGATACTGACAATTTTTTGTATTTTCATTTTAACGGAAACAGCTTTGTTTATCATTGTAATAATAAAAAAAAATACTGACTTCATAATGTAAAATGTTTTAAGAATGTGATGAAACTAATTTTATTTCAATTAAAAACGGGTTTTTGTTATGCAACATTTTTATATAAATGAGTTATTATAATTTAATTATTGATTTCTATAAAGTTACCTTAATTATTTCACTTACTCTGAAAAATTAATGCAATAAATTGAATTTGTATTAAGGATTTTAAAATATTTTTTAATTAATAGATTCAGCTGAACATGAATTGGATCATTCAAAAATGATAGAAGTGTATCAAAGCTGTAATTCTTCTAGACTGAACAATCAATTCAAATACAAATTCAGACTCCAGAATAAAATTTAAAAAAATTATTTGAAACAAATTCTTATAAACTTACTGATCTGATAATTTTGTCTTATGTCTATAAAAAACAGGATGTCTTATTCAAATAATTATATTTACAAAATTGATAAAAATGGTATTGATTCATATTCAAATTCTATCCAGAACAAAAATGTGGTTAACTGATTTTTGGATCATCCTGTATTCATATATTTTGAAACAAATTATTAATCAAATTGATATGGTAGATATATTATTTCCTGTCTTTAGAAACATGCTAATTTTTCAAATATTGCATGTATAATTTAATTATTAGACCAGTAATTATTAACATTTTGATAGTTACTTTAAGATAGAATAGCAAATGCTTTCTATAGCAAAACTTGGCCCATTATCAATTTTGCTGGAATATTTTTCAATACACCTCACTTTTCAGTCTAAAGTGACAGTTTTTATATTCCTGATAGATAATATTTTGCATCTCGAAAATATTTAATAAATACTAGTCTAGTTCATTTAGTACCAGTATTTTCCAAAATGTTCAAGTGAAATAATTTGGTAATTTAAGAAATTTCTTAATTACTAAACTTCTATAATCAAAGTAAGTTACATTTTTAAAAAAATTTTTCATGTAAGAAAAGCTCGAACTGTTCCTTTGATTGGTTTTCTGCAAAAAGGGCAATCAGACATTGCTGGAGCACATTGAACACATGCTACAAGATGACCACAGGGCAAGAATAATACTCCAATTTCTTTATCCATACAAATCTTGCACAGTCTCTGTTCTTTTAGTAAATCTGCAATAAAAGGAAAATTATTATTATATAATAAGGTTTTATAAAATAAGCTAAGAAAGTGTCAGTGTCAGTGTATGTATCAATTATTTCAAAAATAAACTACAGGCATATGCCAATATCCAAAATTCTCACTGTGATGAATACTGTTAGTATCTATAGCAATATCAGAATTGAATAATTCCAGGTTTTCCAAATTTATTCAAAGTGAATTTGTGAAATATTCAATAGTCATACTAATAAAAGTGAAAAACAGCAGTAGCATTATTCCCAGTGTGTTTTCATTTTCAGTCATGTTGTGTATTATATTGCAGTTGTGCAGTTCAGCATTTTTATCATAATTTCGTTGCTATCTTATCGTAATGAACCGTATGTTCATTATAAGATGTTCACTGTATTGTTTCTTTTCATTATTAATCTATTTTTATTTAGTAGTATTTTAATACAAAATATATAGTATCATTACAAAATATTCATTGCCGTCTACTGCATATAAAAGAAAATTCAATTCATCTACAATTTCTAACATATATACTAAAACTTATTTGTTATATTGTTTACAAATACATCCTTTTATGATCTCATTAAGCATTTGTTAATAAGTTACTTGAAATTTGAAATATTTAATATGCTAAAATCATGGATTGCTTGGTAAATAGATTTTTTACAGTGTTTTAATAACGGGAAAGTTGGGGTTATTTGGATGAAAAATCCTCATCCAAAATTGATATTTGAATCTTTTTCAGGAACACCAGAGATTCAGATAATGGAGTATAGCTGTACTTAATACCAGTATTAACCACAGTGATGTAATTCTCAGACATTACAAATTGTTTAATATGTAATATCTTGGTAATACGATTGAATTTTTGCAACTAACAAAGAAAATATTATAGAAGTATTCTATAAAAGGTAGAACACCAATGGAAGCAAAAAATATTTATTGAAATTTCTGGCCAAACTGAAAACAAGTTTCTTATTTTCACAAGCTGAAAAATTTAGGAACATTCCATCTTTCACAGTAATAGAAAGTATAAAAAAAAGTACATACTGAACAGACTGAAGCTGTCAGAAAGACAAAAAGTTGTTCATTAGATACATTTAGACTTTGTTACTATTATTTATTGATGCATTTATATACTACTACATTTTCAGTATGCTGCATATTGTATACAAAAATGGATTAGACAAATTCAGTGTTTCCAGACATTGTTTAAAATGTTTTCCCCTCATTCTTGCTCTTTTTGCCTTGTAGATAAGAGGGTCTTTCTTCACATCTACTGTGGGTTTGATCAGGCACACATTGGGGTAATATGTGACTTAGCATCCTTAAAAAACATCTGGAGTAGCTTACCTGGATTCAATCTTAGCTCCTCAGAGCAGTAAGTTGAAGCCTTAATTGTCTCAGTCATCCAATTTGAAATAATGTTTTACTAGTTGCTATGCATATTTTTGTATAAATATATTACTTTTGAAGCTATACATAACTAATGTTTTTTCTTAGCATGTAATGTATCATAATATACTTCTTAACATTTCAAAGAGAAAGCAATATTTGAACTCTGTTTAGAAATCATTATTGATACTTATTTCTTGTTACAGTAATAAATTATAATTTGATTTATACTAAAATTACATCACAAAACTCATAACAATCAAAACACCAAAGAAAAAATAAATAATTTAAAAATCTTAAATGCTTGATATTATTTAAAAAGTTTACCATCGATAGAAGCAGATCCACTAGCACTTTGTCCAGAAACAGAAAAACATGATGGTTGAACATCTTCGGAAGGACTTGTTGAAGGTCTAACTGTAACATTCATTTCTTTGTTTACTTCCATAGGTTCTTCATCAATATTTGTTGATTCATTGCTATAGATAAGAGTAAATAAATAATACTGTTAATATGTTAGAACCACAACTAAACAACATAGTATGAGCTATGCTTTAATGAAGTATATAAAGAACTTCACCCTACAGAATGATAAAGAGAAGACATCTTTGGACATGAACAGTCTACAGAATTCCAATACACAATAGAACAGATTGCAACACTAATAAAGAGGCTCTAATTTATCAACTATTTTCTGATAAAATGGTCAATTTGTAAAATTCTATCAGTTTAACAGTTAAATTTGACTCCAAATGCAAAAAATGAATGTACTAACAATTGTTTCGTTGCCAACTTACTGATGAGTTGGCAACTAAATCTTTAGTGCTTAATGACAAATTAAATTTTCCTTTTCTCTATTTCAAAAAGCAGAAGTTTCACTGCATGAAAAATAGGGCATATCGTAAATTTTCAGTTGTAGTGATTAAAACAATGGCCAGTACAAGCACTCTCATTCAAATAGAATGTTCCATTTGTCAACTAAAATGTCACTTGACAAAATCACTACTGTAGTCTAGGAATTATGAATTAAGACAAATCGCCAAACTGTCCAGCATAGTTCTATGATATGATTTTTTATTTATTAAAGTTCTTTAAATAAGATAAACTGTAAAGTGGTTTCAGTTATTTAAAAACATCTTAATATATAAAAATTAAATAAACATGAGTATACAAATAAATAATTGACTTTAAAAAACTGCATCTATCTAAATTTACCAGTACATATATTGAACTACCTATATTTTTACTAATGAATTTTATTCTGTTTACCAAAAATGCAATCCCATACTCTTCAGAGTATATTGAGATAACAGCATGTTACATCAAAGAACTAATTTCCAATCATCAAATAGACAAATGAAATAAATACAAACATTACAAACACTGCTAGATGCAAATTAACATCGAATGGAGTAAAATACAAACACATGAGCCTCTTCATCTTGGAACCAACCACCAAACTGTCAAATTTATAAGATCTATAAGAGAAGCTTAGAAACTATAATCAAATGTACACTCAGACAACTTACGATCTTGGAAGTGACTAGAACACTAGTTAGCCACAATGAAGTTCTGTTAAAATAACATCCCCCATTTTAATTTTATAAACATGCTGTTGATAATCCTCCTTGTCTTTATTTTATGCTCTCTTATTTTATTTTGTACACAATTTATCTAAACATTCTATTTGATTCCCAGAGAAGCATTCATTTTTTTTCTTTTCCAAAGAGAGATTATATATGTTTCAAGTATCTTTAATCAATCAAATTTTCATAAGTGGGTGGGAGAAAGAAATTAAATTCCTGGGTATTTATTTCACAATATATTAATTTATCATCATCTAATATAAGTTTGAATCTTATTGCTATATTACAATCAATACACAAATCAGTATTAATAATAATCTGTACAGAGGTATGCCTCACTTTACAGCACTTTTCAATTATGCTCAAGTATTATTTTTAATGCTTGCTTACCTTGCTTGAGAGGTATAGTTAGCAATATGATTCTGTAGTTCTTAAAACATTTTACTTTTGCATTTTTGTGTACTTGACAAATGATGTATAAATATGTTTCTAGGCTTATACAGGCAAGTGTGGGAGGAGAAAAGCTAATTTGCTTTATAATGGTGGTTTAAAACTTGTCATGTTAGCAAGATATGCCAGTATATATTAAATATTTAGAGAAATATTACAAGTGTGCTTTTTGTAAATTAGATTTAAAAATAAATTTCAATTATTTGATAATTTTTTTTCATTTGTAGTATTTCATTATACTCTAAGAACTGATTAGCAAGGTATTCAATAATGAGATACTTGTGAATTGAGGTTACACTGTCTTTATCCAAAAACTAATGTTGGGACAATCATCCTTCTCAGAATTTTACCACAAATACTTAGTTTTATACTTAAAATGGAAGTATAATATTTTGAATTCATTTCTCTTTAAAATGAACATGACTATTACAACAGATGTTAGATTTTCAGATTGTCTTAAAAAATGAAACATTAAAAAAGAAAATTGGAAGATTTGGTTGGTTAGTTAGATTTGAGGTGTATGGTACAAGAGCCTCACTAGGCCAAAAAGTACCAGATCTAGACATTTAGGAATTTCAATATCTCTTTGGTTGTTTTAAGAATCCACATCCAAGATTTTTTTTATAGTAGTATTTTTTTTTACTTTGAATTAGTAGCATTATTTAAAAGAAAAAAGTTTTCACTAATCCAAACAACCTGTACAATAATTAGTTTATATACAGCATTAAATAATTTAAAGATAATATTTCAATTCTTAATTCTTATTTGAAATCAGAATTTTCAATGACAGTATTAGTATTTTATAACACATTTCATGGATATGGATGATTTATACCAGGTTTAAATTAAAAGAAAAATTTAAATGTGGTATAATAAATTTATAAAAAAAATTATAATCAAAACCCACTCTTCAATTACCTTGCATTATTTTCCATTTCTTGTTGTAAATTCAGTACGGTTTCACATAATTCATCTGCATTCTCAAAGTTTCCATCACCATTTTGTACTCTCCTTAATAAAACTTCTCTAATCATATGAGGAGGGAAAATTCCAGGTTCAATTGCTGCTTTTACAATATCAGATTTCATATATTCATCTACTTGACGTTCAACAGTTAATGAAAATTCAGAAACATGTAACACTTCATTACTTGTTGATTCCATGTTAACTTCACCACTTGATTTCTGTAATGTAGTATTGCTAAGCATTATATTAAAGAAAAATGTTTTAAAAACTAAATTAGAATAATTGAGATGATACATAATGTTATATCAAAGTGACAATGATTTATTTATTATTTACATATTTTCATAATATGAATTAAGTATTCTTTCAATATTGTTTCTAAGTTGTGAAAATCAGCATTACTTAATAACAAAGATTTTATTTTGAGATCACTTTATCTAATGTATTTCAGAGCACTTAATTTTTCTACTGATAAAACAGTTTGAGGTACTGATAGTTTTCATCAATTCTTGCAGTTTTGTTTNATATATTTTTTTTTTACTTTAGTAAACAATAAGTAAAGATTAGCAGAAGTACAAAATTTTAACTGATATAATATGAAAAAATATAAAGTATACTTTTTGAATTGTTTTCATTTGAATTTTTTAATTCATATTCTAAAAGAATATTTTATGTTCTGAAGAAAGTCAAGTCTGAATCAAAAACATTTAAATAAAACATTAACACAGTACAATCTTGGTAATCTGACATACACGGTATGGCAAAAAAGTAATGAGACAAGTTTTTTTGCAACAATTTTATTTTTATACATTAATGTTATCCCTTTCAAAGTAGTTCCCTTGGGCAGTTATACATCAGCAGAGGCAGTCTTCATAGCAGTGCTGGAAAGCTTTAACTGGATTTGCCTGCAGCAATGCAGTGTCATCTTGGTACTGTTGATAACATCCAAAGGATGTTATCAACAGTACCAAGATGACACCCTTTCAAATGGATCTTGATCTTGTGGAAAAAAAATGTCAAACAGACTAGAGATCAGGTGAATAGAGGCCTGGGAAACCATAGGAATTTCTTTTTCTGTCAAAAACTGGTTGATGGAGATGGCTGTGCAACAGGAAGAGTTGTTATGGTGTCCACAATGTCCCATCTGACTTGAAGCACTCAATTAGGGTTTCTTTCCCGGGATTCCCGCCATTTATTCCCTACGAGAAAAATCCCGGGAAATTTTATTTTCCTGGAAAATCTCGCATTTCAATAATAATTTATCATGTCAGGTTTTCTTTCTATTTTTTATTATACAAAAAGTTGCATCTTGAAGACTCACCTAAGAGAGAAATTTTGAGGTTTCTTGCTGCATATTATTACCTACGTTTTACAAGTCTCTACTTGTTAGTTCATGTAATATCTATGTATTGTGTTTGCGCATCATTGAACAGCGGAGACTTGCTGAAAGTAAATATCACTCATCGCACTTTAGTTCATTTTTTATTTCATCTTTAGAAATAAAATAGTATTTTTTTTCGTAATCCTTAAAACTCCCAATGAAACGCTTTATTTTACTTTCATTTTATAATGTAGGAGAACATAAATTAATTGAGCCTAACATGTCCATATGGGTGAGATTGGCCTTATACTTTTAGTTACTTACTAGAAAATAAATTATTCAAATTTATGATATTCCTGTATGATCTTTTTTATTCATATAAAAATTCTATTTTACTATCTCATCCTGGAATTTCCTGGAATTGCGGGAAAAGAAATTATTTTTCCCGTAATCCCGCTGGAGGCAAATTTCCTGGGAAATGAGAAACCCTACACTCAATGTTAGTCAACAGTCTAACCTAACAAGAGCCCCCAACTCATTCCACATTTTTCACAGTTCTTGATGTTGAATGCCTCCCTGAGTAAGGTTTGTCTTCTACTGCTTCTAGGCCCTCCAAAAAATGCTTTGTGCCACTGAAAAACTTGTACTCACGATAAGGAATGTTTCTCCATAGGCCTGTTGTAACTTTTTGTNGGTATTTCGACAAAATTCAATGGACTTAAATTGATTTTGAACACGTAGAAACACTTTTGCGTTGCACGTAATATTTGTTTTCGCAAAAAATTCATCTGGCCCATTAGTCCCCCCCTTAATCAGATTCTAGATCTGCCGCTGGTCAAGGGTGTCATGATTTGTTATTTTTCAATTAGGTACGCCACTCAATGAAAAAGGTTGAAAAACACTGGTCTAACCTAACAAGAGCCCCCTAACTCATTCCACATTATTCGCAGTTCTTGATGTTGAATGCCTCCCTGAGCAAGGTTTGTCTTCTACTGCTTCTAAGCCATCAAAAAAAAAAAATGCTTTGTGCCACTGAAAAACTTGTGCTCACGATAAGGAGTGCTTCCCATAGGTCCGTTGCAACTTTTCATAGGTCAAACTTGTGGGTTCACCAAGCTTAACACAAAATTTGAAGGCATAACATTGCTCCAAAAATTTCACTATTCTGTTTTCTGTAATGCAATACAAAAACAAAACTCCACTTATGCTCTCTAGGATTGTGTAGTTACTGCATGAGGTTGAAACTGTTACTGAGTGTCCAGGAGGGACTGATGTACAAGCTATGTGAAGGGAAGTGCACAGTGTTGCCAGATTGCTCTCAGTGATGCTAATCTCATTACTTTTCTGCCACACCTCATATATTGGATTGGAACAGTGCCTAATTAAGGAGATGGCCAGATTAAAGGTAAAATTTCATGGTTTAGTCATTCAAAAAGAAAATGTTTATTTACATATTAGTACTTTTTATTAATAAAACACATGTATAGAATAGCAAAAAAATATGAAAGAGCAATCGAAAACTAAAATACATGTAAATTTAATGGGAAATTAAGCAATCTTGGAAAATTAACTGGAAATTGCAGTCTTTTTGATGAAAAATTTTGGAGGAGGACCGAATTTTATACTTACACACTTTACATTATAAAATACTGTACTATTTTTGAGCAGCCTGAGATGACAAGCCTAACAAACTTTAATATTGTGCCAAAGCTCAAGTGTTTAAGCTTGATATAATGCCATATTTATTGGAAAGATATTGAGATTTATTGGCAATTGGAGTTTGAACTGGTGGTAAGCTTGACTACAACTTGGAAACAGTACCAATATCCAGATTTGACTAGTACTGGATTACTGGCTGAGTCAAACCAGTGATCATTAGAATTACCAAGAATATACATAAAATTCTGATGTTTCACTTTATTTTAAAACAAAGTATTTGAACATTAATCTATAACTGCAGTTGTTACTTGCAATAGATATGTTTTAAGCTTAAAAGCATTAAAACACAACTAACAGTAAAGTTATATATCAGACATAACTATATGTCAAATATATGAAAACTAATTTGCTGTTTGTGTATTTTTAAGTGTGGTTAGACATTTATCATCTGCAAAGTGGATCAATTCATTTTCAATGTGTAAATTTTTAATACTGGTAATTTGATTTTATAAGCTAAATCACTATTACTTACCCGAGAGGGACTATTCAGACAAGCTTCTACAAAGTCATCTCCTTTATTTAGTCGTACATATGCACAGTTTTGAAACCATCTTGCGTGCTCCACCCATGGATCATCGCCCTTTTCCCAATTACATAACCCACCATCACAATAAAAGCATCTTGTGTAATCCTTAATACCTATAAAAATTTTTATTTAAAAATCAAATATCAAGATACAGTAGACTAACTTTATAGTGATCTTTAAAGACTCAGTCAAAAATTTATATCAGATTTCTCCAATATTTTTTTGATTCTGGAGGAAAGATACTAATTATGTAATGCAATTTCATATCTGCATAAAAATATTCTAAAAACTATTTACTAAAATTATATTTCTTTTTAATTTTCAAAATTATTTTAAACATTATATAATGTTTCATACTTAAGTAAAAAAAATTACAAAACATAATTCATTATGAAATCATAATAATGCAATATTTATGTACAATAAAATTAAACTAATTTTTTTCTAAATTAAAAAGGCATAGTTTTATCTAAGAGGTGGTTCATTTTTACTTTTGTTCTGAAAGATTGCTTTAATTAGATTATAACCATTTATCATGTTATAAAGGTGAAATTTAAACATTTTGAAAAAGAACTTTATTGAAAATTAACTCAACACTTATAGTTTAGCCTGGTAGATAATCACCAATACAAATCACATCTCGCCACCTTTACTGCAAACTTTCAACTTTGTGAACATAGAATGGCTGGGGATATTCTTTGAAAGAAGTCAAAGTGTTGGGTATCGTCTTAAACCATTCTTTCTCAAAGTGGGCAATAACGCCCCCTTGTGAGTGCTGGCGGCTTTCAGGGGACAGTAGAAGGCTCAGTGATTACATGAGTTTTATTTCTTCTCGTTGAAACATTCTTTGATCTCAGAAATAGGATATGGGTCACACCCTATCCATATAATAATGCATGTTTAAACATTATATTTGCAATAACTGTTTTTAAGATATTTTTTTACATTACCATCTGTTGCATAAGTTAAAAAAATATGGGGGCACTAGATTTTTTTAATCTCAAAGTGGGTGGTGGTCGAAGTAATTTTGAGAACCTGTGTCTTAAACTGTATATTGGAAGTATGGTTCTGCAGAACACTAAATAAATGGTAGCCAGTTCACACTAAGTCTGGGCTGTAAGGTGGATGAGGAAGAACTTCCAGCCCAGACTGGCCAGCTTCTCTAAGATCATCTTTGCTCTATGTGATGTCATGCTGTTGCTGTTGTCATGGCCCAAAAAAACCTGTTTCTTTATGCAAGCAAGCAGTTGTGTATGGGGACTTGGTGGTTAGAAAACGAAGGAGAAAGTTGAGAAACAACTCAGAAAATATTCACTCCGATACTAATTTAATATTAACACAAAGATTTAACATAAAACTGTAAATTAATACAACAATAAACTATTAAAGAACAATTAACCTATCCTAGCATGCCTACTTTTGCAAGAGAGTTTACAATCAAACCATGCAAAGGTTCTTCTGTTTCTTGAGGGGACATCCTAAAGTTCACTCAACAGCATTTCTCTTCTTTTGGGCATAAGTGCCCTTGTAATACTCTGTAGATACTTTCCTTAGCAGAAGGAGATGCAAGAGTTCTGGGATAAATTGGGGAAGCTGAGACGACAGGATCTTCTTGGGCAGAACAGAGAATGGACTCTGCAAATGAGCAATGACCAGACAAACTCCTCCTCTCACCTTCTCTCATTTATTTGGTTTTCCTCCATGAATCTGAATATGTCCAAGTTTGGTAAAATTGGATAGGGAAGTTTGGAAACAATCTTGGATTGGATTATTATTCAATCAAAGATTATTTCCAAACTTTCCTGAGTGAGCCAAACTCAAAAGATGTATTGTAGTTGATGGGAAGTTAAGTTGATAAGATCTTGTTAACTTCTTCATTGAAAGTTGCCTTTCTTGTTTTACTTGATAACTTTTTACAACTATTAAATACAAATATTGTTTTATATGAAAACAGCAGCCCTGAACTCTCAATCAGTTGTTTGCAGTAGAGTTCTTTTATGACAGGGATGTTGCTTGGAAGCAGCTCTATCATATGCCAAACAAGTGCAGATCATTGCTATTTCCTGTAATACATACCCTTTGACATTTGCAACAGCTGGTTGACCTTTGTTCATCCAAACACCTTAACAAACACTTTGCAAATGAGATTGTGAGCTTTCATTGCATTGTGACCAGTTTTGAAGTTTTAGAACATACAAATATGTTCTTTTGAAAATTTTATATTGTCAGACATTGCTAACACATCTATTTCCAATGTGTTGAAATGACATTTAGTAATTTTATACCTACTTATTTTATATATAATATAATACCCACATTGAACATTCTACAGCATGTTTTCCAGTCATTTCTATACAAAAACACTAAATTTAAATCAATCTAAATTTCACTTCTACAATCTGATACAAGGACCTTCACTGTCATACCAGAGTGAGTCAGTGAATTGAATATCACTGTAAAGCAAGTCTTGTAATTTTTTTTCTAAATTACTAAAATATAATTTGTTTGTAATTTAACAAAATAATTCAATATTTTTAATTATATATGAAGTAAAAAGTAAAGATTAGCAACTTGTAATTGAATAGTTATGTAATATTTATATAAGATATAAATTCAAAAATTTTAACCATTTCAGTTTGTAACTGTACTGTTCTGTTTAAGATTCATCAGTTTTAAGAACTATATTATATATATATATTATTCATACCAATATAAAAGAATCCAGCATCTACTAATTCTGCTGGTCTCAAAACAGCAGTTGCTGGCCAAGTAACAAATGATCTTAATCTTGCATCTTTACTTGCTTGGGCTGGATGTCTTGGTCCATGATGTAATTTAACACCAAAATTTTCAAGTTTATTTGCTTTTCTTATAGATTTATATCCATTTTCAGGAACAGAATTTTTCCAAATCAATGAACCACATTCATCATGTCCAGTTCCTCTTATTACTGAATGAGTTGGTTCAGGAGAATTTATTGGAATATTTCCAACATTTCTATTCATTACAAAAGGACAGAAAGGAAAATGCCTAGCATGTTCTCTAAGTGGATCGTCATTTCTTTCCCAGTGACTAACAATTCCACGGCAAAACACACACTGTACTTTATCTTGTTGCAACAAATAAAAAAACCCTTCTCTAGCAAGATCACAAGGTTTAGGACTTGTTAGAGGCCACGTCTCAAAAGTTTTTAATCTCTCCCTCTCTGATTTAAGTTTCTCAAAATCTGGAGTTCTAGATGTATCTTCTAAATTTCTGTTTTGTGGTATTTGATTAATTGCTGATGTTGAAGCATTTTGGTCAGGATTGTGGTGTGTTTGACCATTTACTAACGTCCTTGAATTAGAACTGGAAACATCACTCGGAGTTAAATTATTTTCTGATACTGCTGCAATACCATTAGAACCTATTAAAAAAATTCAGTGTATTAATATTTAAAAATTATAGAATTTAATAAATCAGTTTATTATAAAAATCATGAAAAANAACTTTTGCAACTAACAAAGAAAATATTATAGAAGTATTCTATAAAAGGTAGAACACCAATGGAAGCAAAAAATATTTATTGAAATTTCTGGCCAAACTGAAAACAAGTTTCTTATTTTCACAAGCTGAAAAATTTAAGAACATTCCATCTTTTGCAGTAATAGAAAGTATAAAAAAAGTACATGCTGAACATAGACTGAAGTTGTCAGAAAGACAAAAAGTTGTTCATTAGATACATTTAGACTTTGTTACTATCATTTATTGGTGCATTTATATACTACTACATTTTCAGTATGCTGCATATTGTATACAAAAAATGGATTAGACAAATTCAGTGTTTCCAGACATTGTTTAAAATGTTTTGCCCTCATTCTTGCTCTTTTTGCTTTGTAGATAAGAGGGTCTTTCTTCATATCCACTGTGGGTTTGATCAGGCACACATTTGGGCAATATGTGACTTAGCATCCTTAATTAATTTAAGAACATCTGGAGTAGCTTACCTGGATTCAATCTTAGCTCCTCAGAGTAGTAAGTTGAATCCTTAATTGCCTCAGTCATCCAATTTGAAATAATGTTTTATTAGTTGCTATGCATATTTTTGTATAAATATATTACTTTTGAAGCTATACATAACTAATGTTTTTTCTTAGCATGTAATGTATCATAATATACTTCTTAACATTTCAAAGAGAAAGCAATATTTGAACTCTGTTTAGAAATCATTATTGATACTTATTTCTTGTTACAGTAATAAATTATAATTTGATTTATACTAAAATTACATCACAAAACTCATAACAATCAAAACACCAAAGAAAAAAAAAATAATTTAAAAATCTTAAATGCTTGATATTATTTAAAAAGTTTACCATCGATAGAAGCAGATCCACTAGCACTTTGTCCAGAAACAGAAAAACATGATGGTTGAACATCTTCGGAAGGACTTGTTGAAGGTCTAACTGTAACATTCATTTCTTTGTTTACTTCCATAGGTTCTTCATCAATATTTGTTGATTCATTGCTATAGATAAGAGTAAATAAATAATACTGTTAATATGTTAGAACCACAACTAAACAACATAGTATGAGCTATGCTTTAATGAAGTATATAAAGAACTTCACCCTACAGAATGATAAAGAGAAGACATCTTTGGACATGAACAGTCTACAGAATTCCAATACACAATAGAACAGATTGCAACACTAATAAAGAGGCTCTAATTTATCAACTATTTTCTGATAAAATGGTCAATTTGTAAAATTCTATCAGTTTAACAGTTAAATTTGACTCCAAATGCAAAAAATGAATGTACTAACAATTGTTTCGTTGCCAACTTACTGATGAGTTGGCAACTAAATCTTTAGTGCTTAATGACAAATTAAATTTTCCTTTTCTCTATTTCAAAAAGCAGAAGTTTCACTGCATAAAAAATAGGGCATATCGTAAATTTTCAGTTGTAGTGATTAAAACAATGGCCAGTACAAGCACTCTCATTCAAATAGAATGTTCCATTTGTCAACTAAAATGTCACTTGACAAAATCACTACTGTAGTCTAGGAATTATGAATTAAGACAAATCGCCAAACTGTCCAGCATAGTTCTATGATATGATTTTTTATTTATTACTTTAAAGTTCTTTAAATAAGATAAACTGTAAAGTGGTTTCAGTTATTTAAAAACATCTTAATATATAAAAATTAAATAAACATGAGTATACAAATAAATAATTGACTTTAAAAAACTGCATCTATCTAAATTTACCAGTACATATATTGAACTACCTATATTTTTACTAATGAATTTTATTCTGTTTACCAAAAATGCAATCCCATACTCTTCAGAGTATATTGAGATAACAGCATGTTACATCAAAGAACTAATTTCCAATCATCAAATAGACAAATGAAATAAATACAAACATTACAAACACTGCTAGATGCAAATTAACATCGAATGGAGTAAAATACAAACACATGAGCCTCTTCATCTTGGAACCAACCACCAAACTGTCAAATTTATAAGATCTATAAGAGAAGCTTAGAAACTATAATCAAATGTACACTCAGACAACTTACGATCTTGGAAGTGACTAGAACACTAGTTAGCCACAATGAAGTTCTGTTAAAATAACATCCCTCATTTTAATTTTATAAACATGCTGTTGATAATCCTCCTTGTCTTTATTTTATGCTCTCTTATTTTATTTTGTACACAATTTATCTAAACATTCTATTTGATTCCCAGAGAAGCATTCATTTTTTTTCTTTTCCAAAGAGAGATTATATATGTTTCAAGTATCTTTAATCAATCAAATTTTCATAAGTGGGTGGGAGAAAGAAATTAAATTCCTGGGTATTTATTTCACAATATATTAATTTATCATCATCTAATATAAGTTTGAATCTTATTGCTATATTACAATCAATACACAAATCAGTATTAATAATAATCTGTACAGAGGTATGCCTCACTTTACAGCACTTTTCAATTATGCTCAAGTATTATTTTTAATGCTTGCTTACCTTGCTTGAGAGGTATAGTTAGCAATATGATTCTGTAGTTCTTAAAACATTTTACTTTTGCATTTTTGTGTACTTGACAAATGATGTATAAATATGTTTCTAGGCTTATACAGGCAAGTGTGGGAGGAGAAAAGCTAATTTGCTTTATAATGGTGGTTTAAAACTTGTCATGTTAGCAAGATATGCCAGTATATATTAAATATTTAGAGAAATATTACAAGTGTGCTTTTTGTAAATTAGATTTAAAAATAAATTTCAATTATTTGATAATTTTTTTTCATTTGTAGTATTTCATTATACTCTAAGAACTGATTAGCAAGGTATTCAATAATGAGATACTTGTGAATTGAGGTTACACTGTCTTTATCCAAAAACTAATGTTGGGACAATCATCCTTCTCAGAATTTTACCACAAATACTTAGTTTTATACTTAAAATGAAAGTATAATTATTGTGAATTCATTTCTCTTTTAAAATGAACATGACTATTACAACAGATGCTAGATTTTCAGATTGTCATAAAAAATGAAACATTAAAAAAGAAAATTGGAAGATTTGGTTGGTTAGTTAGATTTGAGGTGTATGGTACAAGAGCCTCACTAGGCCAAAAAGTACCAGATCTAGACATTTAGGAATTTCAATATCTCTTTGGTTGTTTTAAGAATCCACATCCAAGATTTTTTTTATAGTAGTATTTTTTTTTACTTTGAATTAGTAGCATTATTTAAAAGAAAAAAGTTTTCACTAATCCAAACAACCTGTACAATAATTAGTTTATATACAGCATTAAATAATTTAAAGATAATATTTCAATTCTTAATTCTTATTTGAAATCAGAATTTTCAATGACAGTATTAGTATTTTATAACACATTTCATGGATATGGATGATTTATACCAGGTTTAAATTAAAAGAAAAATTTAAATGTGGTATAATAAATTTATAAAAAAAATTATAATCAAAACCCACTCTTCAATTACCTTGCATTATTTTCCATTTCTTGTTGTAAATTCAGTACGGTTTCACATAATTCATCTGCATTCTCAAAGTTTCCATCACCATTTTGTACTCTCCTTAATAAAACTTCTCTAATCATATGAGGAGGGAAAATTCCAGGTTCAATTGCTGCTTTTACAATATCAGATTTCATATATTCATCTACTTGACGTTCAACAGTTAATGAAAATTCAGAAACATGTAACACTTCATTACTTGTTGATTCCATGTTAACTTCACCACTTGATTTCTGTAATGTAGTATTGCTAAGCATTATATTAAAGAAAAATGTTTTAAAAACTAAATTAGAATAATTGAGATGATACATAATGTTATATCAAAGTGACAATGATTTATTTATTATTTACATATTTTCATAATATGAATTAAGTATTCTTTCAATATTGTTTCTAAGTTGTGAAAATCAGCATTACTTAATAACAAAGATTTTATTTTGAGATCACTTTATCTAATGTATTTCAGAGCACTTAATTTTTCTACTGATAAAACAGTTTGAGGTACTGATAGTTTTCATCAATTCTTGCAGTTTTGTTTATGCATTAAAATAATTTAATCTATTGACATTAATTCTAATAATTGATGATATTTCAAGTAANACAATATTTCATTATTAAGTATACAAAATTGAAACAGGACTTTCTGGATACTTTATACAGTTATGAATATAACATGGAAACAAAAAGCAATATTTACTAAATAAGTATACAAAATATTTTACTATTTAAACTTGTGTTAGGTGCAGTTCCACCTCATCCAAATGCATGAGGTAATTCAACTGGGTAATTCAAATTTTAATTTAAAAATTTATGAAATCTATAATTAAAAAAAAAAAAAACAAATGAAAGATTGACTTTATTCTTGAATCATTTAATTTCTTTTAGAATTAACTGATTCAAGAATAAAGTAGGAATTTAGGATTTAGTTCATTTCTGGATTATAAATCTCCCAAAGAAGTTCGATAAGACCGAAACTATCGAGAAAAGCTTTTACTATACAATAAGGGTAGTCATACAATAAAGGTTATTAATAGTGCAGTTAACCATAGTAATAAAAATCAGCTTTACTTGTAAAATTAATTTTACAATTTCACTTTGATTTAAACTAGAAGATAAAGTTGCTAAAGTAAATACACAAACTAGAATTTACAAAAAGCACACAATATGCAAAAATATTTTATTGTAGTTTAAAATGATTTATAAAATATAAAACAAAAAGAATGACAATTTCCTAGTTACTTATTTGAAAAAATTTAAATCACATCTAGCAAAGGATTACTTTTTTTAATGACTTAAATAGACCAAACTTTAAACAACACATTTTTTCTTCTTTATAAACCTCAAAAGAATTATATTTATAACATTTCCAGACTAAGTGCATAATCAAACTTATTGGTTTTGCAATATGCAAAAGTGAAATAATTTTAAAACATTCTACAAATTTATCCTAGTTACATTAACCAAATTTGGATAAAGTTTTAAACACAAAATTCAAAATTGAATTTTAAAATATGATTATTATATTAATAACATATTGAAAGTTAATATTTGTTAAAAGAATAATCAAATTGATTTAATGTTTTCCAACTACAGGTTTGAAAATTAGTTTGATTTAAGCATTTTAATAATCATACCAAATAATAATTTTGTCAGCAATATCTTACAAAATCAATAAACTAAAAAGGTGAAAAATAAAACAAATTTACAAATAAACAAGAACAAAATTATTATAAAAGTTGCTTCTAGCCCTTAGTATAATTATATTAATTAAATCATCAACAATCCTGAAGCAGATAATTGGCAAGTGCGAAATCTGACAGAAGGCGCTGTTTTTGAGCCAAGATGGCTGCCGAAACAGGTAAGGAACTGACCATGTGTTTGTTTAGTGCCTGAATCAAAGTGACAATGTTTAATAAATACAAAAATGACTATATAAGTATGGAAATGAAAAAAAACCCAAAATGTATTTTGGTTTCTTTTAGTTGGTATTAACTAAAAGGTATATTAAAATTATACAAGGTAAAGGTAAACTTTATATTGTATAGCTTTAGGCATAGTTTTAAGTTTATCTTGTACAATTTTAACCCATTGGTAAACGTGTCCGCGACAAATTGCCGCAAAATATAGATAAAGTCTTTTGTTTGACGACGTACTTAATTATTGCAGAAGTACGTCATAGTATTGTCTCTTCATATTACAAGATACAACATGTTTATGAAATTGGGTCAGTTATACTAACCATTTAGTTGTTACTGGACTTTGAATGAAGTCTTACCTCATTTGTGTTGTAACTGCCGCTACACGCCCTGCCATGTAACTAAAATATCAGTATACTTTTATACACACACACAAATCTTTTAATGTCGTAATCAACATTACATAACCGGTTCCGCAGTAAGCACAGCCAGTTTACAGATGGTTTTAGGTATTGCAAATGTTATAGTTCAGGGGTCGGCAACCTGCAGCTCGCGAGCCACATGCGGCTCTTTGGATGTGAAGCTGCGGCTCTTTAGTTCCATACGCAAATATTATTTATTTTATCAAAAAAAAATAAAAAAAACATTTAAAAATCGTTCTGACGAGGATTAGGCACCGATTCTATCTCTCAGCCACTTGTAGTCGCTTTTCACTGCACCCCTGCCCCGTGACACGCGTCATCACTGTCGTCAGTCCGTCAGAAGCTCTCGAATGACGCCGTCGTCGGATGTTTCTATTATCTAATTTGTTGTGAAAAACACTACTTATATATGAATAAATAGATATTTTTTCTTATGAATAAATAGATTAGTTTTTTTATCAAAAAACTTTATTTATGCGAGTACTATTTATTGTTGGNATATTATTAAATTACCGTTGGCCATGTTAAAATTCAATTTTTATTTTTAAAATGTATTATTGTGATTGTGGCTTTAGGACACCAGATGATGCTTTTATCATACTTTACATCTTTTTGTTCTATCTGTATCAACCTATTTGTTCCTTTATCAATATAACAAACCACCTAGCTTTCAAAACCAAATTTTTACCTTCTTTTAATACAGATAATTTCTTCATAGTGGAATCTGGAACTCAGTGCTAACATTTAAGTTTCTGTTTCACTTTGGCATTTAAACACAATTTTAGTTTTTAAATAAAATTTGAAAAAAAAGAATCAAAAATGATTCTAGAACACCCATACTTTCAGTTCCAATGATATTATAAATCATTACTTTTCAAGAGTAATTTGAATAACTTTTGAAACTACTGTTTCAACATTTTGTTCACTAATAAAAATACTTTTAAATATTAGAAAAAAAATGCTACATCTTGACAAAAGTATTTTCAATTTATTTAATAAATTTCATCATTTGCTTTCTTTAAATTTAAGGACATATTAAGTTACATAATTGCATTTATTACCTTTCCTAATTGAAAATTTTGAAGATGTATTTTATGACACTTATCATTGGAGCATTATAAATTCACAATAAAATTATAGATTACATAGTTTTGTACACGAAGTGTAAGATACTACAGACTGTATGAATTACAATTTGGTTACATTTTAATGAAATAAAATTAAGTTTAAAAGCATGTAAAATACAATTAACTAACAATAATTTATAAAAGTCTTTAAAAGTAAAATTTAACTAACCTAAATTTGGCTTTTTAAATGCCTTGTTAAATATTTCTGCAATAAAATTACATTTTGGAAATAATTCTCTGTGCTTTCTAACAGCAACATCTCCTGGCTGCCAACCTTTTATTTTTACTCCACAACTAAAACATTGTACTTCATCTCCATCTCCTTTATAATAAAAACCTGCTTTAGCAAGTTTGTGAGAAGCTATGACATCTTCATGTGGCCATGAAGAAAATGTTGTTAATCTGATTCTTTCCTCCTCCATAGGCTTTCCATCGCTTTCTAATGATGGTGGTATTGGAGAAAAATGGCTATCTGACAATAATTTCGGTTCTTCTGCAACAGATTTGTATTGCGTTAAATTTTGATTCTGCATTTTAATAAGTTCTGTAAATAAAAACTTTTGTTAGTATATCAATAATATGAAAATCAAAAATAGTTATTATAATTTAATATCTATGATATATTAAATGGTGTATCAAAACAATAAATGAACTCATTTTCTTCACTATTTAAATCTAACAAGCAAGTATTTATTGTGACATCATCACAATGCTGAGCTGCAATTTTTAATCATATTTAATTTAAATATATGCTTTCCACCACAAATTAGTAATGGCTTGCCCTATACATCATACTTTTCCTTTAACAACAGAGTCATGCCAATTATCTAACACTTTTCAGGGAAAAATTTTTGAATTCAAATAATATGACTTCTGGTTTGCATCAGAAGTTTGTATATAGTTAATCAGGGCCTCCTGCCCGAGGTTTTCATATCTGGTCATATCTTTCATCTATTTCACTCTATTCTCGAGATTAAGGAAAGATGGACAGACAGACAACAGTGGAAATTTATAGGTCTCTAATTTTTTCAAATTGCAACACAACAAAGTATCATATAGTAGCCATTAAATTTGTTGAAATTAAAATAATTTATACAGAAGATGTGTTTGATTTTACACACTGCAAGTAAAATTTGCTTTAAAATAAAATCATAACTACAGTAGTAGCATAAATTACAATTACTATAAAATTTGATAGTATTATTGATAAAAAGTTATTAAAAGTTCCTTAAAAAATTATTTTAAACAGGTTTAAAAGTTAAACTCAATATTTTGTCATTCCTATCCAATTCCCTATTGTGAACAAAATTATTTATATTTGAAAATATTTCTATCACATCATTTTAATAAATTCAGAAATGTTTAACAAAATACAATACTGCTGACTTACATATGTTTATTCCTTTTTTTTTTAAATATTGAATTTTTATGAATAATACTTGATCTTTTGCATCAATTATTGCTAACCAATTCAGCAACAACAAATTTATATGCAATTAAGAAAATGATTGCCATATCTCCTAAATCAGCAATGCAAAAATTCCTCAATCACTGAAATGTGAAGATTCAAATTAGTTTTAGATGTATTAATGTACAGGATATCAATAATACATTTTAATCTTATTACATGTATTTAAAAAATGATTATTATGCAATAATCATTAAATATTTCAAGACAAATTTGTTTGATGTAAACAAAAACATCCCTCTTACAGAGTTCAGATTTTATCATTTGCTAACATATCCAGAAATAATCTTACAATCTTTTCATAACATTTATTTTCTTTCAATCTTTAATGATACTACTAGCACATTAGAAATAAATATTTGAATTAGTTGATACTAAGATATCAATAACAGTTACGAATAAAACTCTTCAATATATATATATATAAAAATGGACATGCATGTCCCTATATTTCACTTTTTCGTAAAAACTACACATCGCACGTGAATGGTGTTTGTATGTGGTAGTAGCCCCAAGTCGTGCATAGGGGTGGTTGTGTCTCGATAGCTATAAGGGTGCGGGAGATATGGGCTTGAAAGTGGCTTTCTATTTCGAATGTTTTGTTCGAATTTAATTCAAACAATGTTCAAATTTGTTTGAATTAAATTCGAACATAAAATTCGAATATTGGTTCAATTATAGAATGATTGTAAACGTTCCAGAAACGTTCAAAATAGTTCGTTTGACCGGACGTGAACAGGAGACGTTCAGAAATAGAATCGGAACCAGATCTCTAATTAGTCTGGAAACGGGGGACCTAATTCTTGCATTATGTGAAAACAGGTAAGATTGGCTATAATGTAATTATCTCAATCTTCACTATCGCTACTTTTTAAAAACCCAGCAAAGCGGGTCCTTGCAGCTAGTATAACTATAAATTTTGAAAAGTTCAATAATTAAAAATAAATTTTTGAAGTAACTTTATTGAAGTACTTAAAAAATAAAAATACAACAATTACTATCAGTTATGAAGAAAAGGTTTTATCTACACAAACACACAAAGGCAGTCCTTAAGTTTCAATATGCTGTTTTGTACATATTTTACATTTCAAATTCATTTTTCATACACCAAATCCACTTTGTAAATTTTCAAACTATTCATTTCCTAAACCTGCAGCTTTCCTCATCCAAAAGGATGCATAACTACTCAGGTTTATAGAAAACCTACACATCATCCAACCTTCATCTCTGCCTCTTCCCAAGATCTGTTCACCTTCAAGATGACCAGGTTCAGGGCAGTCATACATTCATTGAACATGCATGACAGATACATAACTCCTAATGATCGATCAACCAGTATGCAACCTAGCACGGCTTTTTCCAACATACTGTTAAAGGCCTTACATGCAGTCTTTACTCTGCCACTTCCACCTTGCCAAAGTCACACCCAAGACACAGTTTATAGGACAGTCACTTATGACAGGAAGGTACCTTCCTTTTACAAGGAAATATCCAAGATAAATAACTTTCATTTAGCCTTCCATAGAAGTCCTTTGATTTTCTCCCTCCTCTGCAATGCTAAAGACCATCTGGACATGCACCTCTAACCAGGCATCTATCTACACTACCCCACAAACAGATCCAACCACCACTTAGAATACATAGGTGCTATAATGTGCCCTTTAAACATCCGCCTCAGATTATCATCACGAAAGGATTGGCCAACACTGCATTGGCTATCTTTACCTCTGACCCTGAGGTGGCAAGTCCCAGAACAGAAAATGACTTCAAAATAAGTGAGAATAGCTCCAAGCAAGGAAAAAGTGACAGAAATAAAATTACTTGGGCATCATGATATTATTTGTTATTTTATGTTTATGGGTTTTGTTTCATTTGATGTTATAATTTTAGTTTGAGAATGTTCTCTTTTGTTTAAAGGACAATAATGTATTTTCATTATTAACTAATAGTAATTACGAATAAAGAAATAATAACTTGTAATTATGTCCAGAAAATACCACAAATTAAGTTTCTGGTTATTGGCACAGTTTGTCGCAGTGACAATTTTGAACTTATGCTCACATAGAGTCTAGACGTTTGTGTGCATTTCTTTTATGTTTGGTGAGAAATTTGTTTCTTGTTTCTGCGTAAATGGTGTGTGTCCCAATTGCAAATTCTGGTCCGAAAAGTTTGTTTTTGTGTGTTTTCCATCTTCTCGTATTTGCATAAACACAGCCTTACAGTAAAGAGTCAAATAGACACCAGTCTCTGGCAAAACAGAAACTCTAATTTCCAGTTTCGTTTTTGAGTGTGTCATATCTGAGTCAGTTGATCAAAATTAGTAAAAGGGGTCGTTAATTATCCTTTGCTATATCTGTATCTTTTGATCTGTTCTTTATACAGTTTCTTTATTTTTTGTAGAACATAACTGTAGGCTAATAAGTACTAGGTCAGCCAGCCAGTTTGGTAATTAAATGCAGGAGGCATCTATTAGAAGATATACAGCATGTCTCGAAAATATAGAGAGAAAAATCATCTGTATATTTACTGTTCTTTCTAATAAGATATCTTCTTAAATTTTACAAATTAATAATTTTTAACCAATTAAAAAGTTTAATTAGAAAAAAGTTTTTGGTGTTGCAGAATTATTAATACTAAAAACAAAACATTTCATTAAACAAAAAAAAAATCCAGAAAAGAAATGCATAACTTTCCCGGTGAAAACATGACAATATAGAACAAATTTAAAATTAGTTTGTGGTGCCATCTGTTTCGACATTTTGTTAAAACATAACTTTCATATTAATAATTACAAAACTGAAAATAGTTTAATTTTGATGGCAGAGACGAGTTTATATAAAATTATAAATGTTAATAACGAGTAAAATCTTCACGAAGTCCAACGCCACTTGAGGTATGACACACGACGCCTCTCTATCTTCCTGAATCTAACCTCCTATATAACTCAATCTATCACCAAAATTTAATATCACCAATGTCCTTTATACACAAGCTACAGCACTAAATTTCATTTCTTAATCACCACCCCATCCTGAGATATTAAAAGAAATAGAAGCTAACACACACTTTTCTCTTTTTGCCATTTTTGGATTCAGGAGGTCTCAAAATGCAGAGATTTGCAAAAACTCAAGGATAAAATTTGACACAATTCCAATATTTTCCCTTGTTATATACATAAGCTGGAAAAGTAAAACTTATTTATTTATTTATTTATTATTCAACAATAAATCCTTCTGTTAAAAAGATAAATTTATTAAATTGTTCCTTAATTATTAACTTTCCAAATTTTATATTTTTAACAGAATTGAAAAAAGTTTAATCACTAATTTTGTTACACTATCAAAATCATTAAAATAAAAGTTGAAAAAATAATAAGCACAATTTAAAATGACACTCATTTTTTTCACTTGATTTTCTGTTAAGACTGGTTTATTAACACCTGCCTTCAAATTGAAAGGGTAAAGGTTAATTGTGTGGGGCTCGGAAAGAATTAAAGTACTTTGAAAAAATTGTGTGGACGTTAATCTGTGCACTTTCAAATTTATGATATTGCATAACTAACATTTTTAAAACCTCAAAAGTCCTGTAATAACAAAAGTTTTACATTTAACAAGAGGATGACTTTATAGGTGTCAAAATTTAAGTATTTAAACATTAATTAACAAAGTAACATGTGACAGCTTGGCATCACAAAAACATTCATAATGGCACAAAAAGTGAGAAATAATGATATCACTGAAATAGTTGAGAAAAAGTGACTAATTTAAAAATAGTGAGAATAGCAATCCGTTCTGATGCCTGAAGTGGAATTTGGCAAGGCACGACTCTTACATAGCTCTTCAAAGCAACCCTTTCTCAAACTTCTTGAGCAGGAGGAAATATAACACTGCTATTAATTTCCACAATATTGACTCCTTCCCCAGTGTGAAAATCTTTCTTACAAGTTAGAACTATAAATCTTATCTCCCCCATTCACTTATGTCACTTCCCCTCTATACACTACGGCAATTCCCCATTGTTTCAGCAGCAGAGGGATTATCCCCTTGGAGACTTATGCTCATCTGACATGGGTGTCC